TTCCTTTCCAATAGGGCCTTGAAGTCCTCTCCTTCAGTCTATAGCGCGGCGTCCCGGGGAGATTTCGTTGTCCGTTGGTGTGCTGGGGCCGCATATTGGTCTCTGAGACAGCGGCAACTCTGTGTGCCCGGCTCAGAGCTCCGCTCTCCATCTCTCCCCAACCGCAGGCTCAGTCGGACGCCGAGGCCCTGGCAGGAGCTCTGGACAAGGATGAGGGTCGGGCCTCCCCATGTACGCCCAGCACACCATCTGTCTGCTCGCCGCCCTCAGCCGCCTCCTCTGTGCCGTCTGCTGGCAAGAACATCTGCTCCAGCTGCGGCCTGGAGATCCTGGACCGGTATCTACTCAAGGTGAGACAGGGGTAGTTGTAGGGCGCGTGTTAGCCGGGTGCGGGGTGCAGCCCAGAGGACTCAGGGAAGCATCGCCGGCCCCAGGTCCACTTAATTCTAAATGCTAGCTCAGCCGCTGCCCGATTGTGCGGCTTTGGACAAATCTTAGGGTCTCAGCATCACCCGGTTTCCGTCTGAAAAATGGAGATTATGTCTATTTCCCCGAGCCTCAGTATTACCGAAGAAAAATAGGGGAGTCACATGCACCTTCTGTGCTCCAGAGTCTCTGACTGCAAATGGGGCGGGGGAGGCTGGGCCCCGCGTGAAGAGGCCCGTGCTGAGCCGACCCCATCCCCGCCCTCTCCCCAGGTCAACAACCTCATCTGGCACGTGCGGTGCCTTGAGTGCTCCGTGTGTCGCACGTCGCTGAGGCAGCAGAACAGCTGCTACATCAAGAACAAGGAAATCTTCTGCAAGATGGACTACTTCAGGTAGGCTGGGCCATCGGGCCAGCAGTGTTGCGGCAGGCAATCCTCTGCCCACCTTTGAGGCGTGGGGTCCTGGCTGCAGCGGCCCGCCATCGCGAGTCCACCCCAGACGCTTCCGCGCGGGCCCAGCCCACCAGCTCTCATCGTTGCGAGCCCAGAGTTCCAGGCTGATGCCTGCACAGATTCGGGCTGCGATTTGTCGCCTGTTCCCGCGGTCCTGTGGGTTCGGTAGCATCTCTGGATCCGTCTTCAATTCTGCCTGAATCTCGGGCTCCGGTTCCGACCTTGAGTGCCTCGGTCGAGCTCTGACATCCCTGGCTCTGGCCCCGACCCTCTTGAACCCCAGCTGCCATCTGGCTGCATTCCGGTGCGCTCCGGCTCTGGGTTCCAACCCTACACCGACTCCAGTCGCGGGGTCTCTCCTGGGCCAGATCTTGAGCTGTGCTCTGGACTCTTGTCCTGGCTCTGACCTGCGCTCCTCTCAGGGGTCGTGTCTGGTCCATCCCCAAGCACCAGCGCCGCATCCCTCTCAGATCTGATTCTGTATCCACGTGCCTAATCCTAAACCCCAACTTCTGTCTCTGGCTCAACTCATACCCGGGCATTGTCGCTAAGGGTCACATTTTGAGTCTGGGGTCCTGCATGTTCCCCCTACCATGCCTGTTCCAGTCTTAGTTTCGCTGTGGTTTTCTGCCCTTCGGTTTGGGCCTCTCCCGGGTCTAGGCTCCGACTTTGGGCTGCAATGACCGGGAAGGGGAGAGGCAGGCGCTGCAGAACCTGCGACCTGGTAAATCATGACAGCCTTCAGCCGCGTCACTTCTGCGCCCCTTGCTTGTGTGTTGCTTCTAGCCACGCCGGGCCTGACCTGGTCACGGGGTTGAGGTCACTGTAAGGTCAGGGACAGAGATATCTATCTTCCCCCCTGACCCCAGCGGGAAGATGAACCAGCCCAGAGGCCTGACCGCTGGGCCTATGGAGAGTGGTGCAGAATTGGTTCCTGGGAGGGACTCCTGTTCCCAAGTGCTTTGTCAGGAAGCAGAGAAAGCTGCTCCCTTATAACCACCCCCACACCTCACAGACATCCTTCCATCCTTGCATGGGAAGACATGATGGCTTCAATTTTCCTGGGTAGAGCCCCTACCCCAGAAAGAACCTCTGAAAGTCAGAGAATAATGGCAGAAGGCAATGTCTTCTCCCCTTACCCCTAGCATTGAACCTCCAGGGACCTGAAAAGAGAGGACCCTGAATCTAAGAGGAAGTTTACAGCATTTGGGGCTGGTACTCTGAGGAAACCGTGGGAGGCATGTTTAAAGAGGTGGATGCTTCCTTTATGTGATGAATGTGAAAAAGTATGTGTGGGGCTGGTATTGGGGGTGGGAGGCTTGACCAGGTGGCCTAGGACTCAGCATCCTAGGAGCATGTGTGTTTGGGTATTGTCTCGGATCTGTGCATGGTGCTGGGGAATGCATCACTGAGCAGGGTCAGGGGTATGTGGATAGCATGTGTGTGCCTTTATCGACAAAGATTTGTCTTTTAGTTCAAGGGTGTAATATGTAAATGTTGAGGCTGTATGTGTATGTGTGCGTGCAAGGTGGTTAGGACAGGGTTACATCTGGACCAGGGATAAAGGGTGTGATGTGAATGTGTACTTGTGTATGTGGACTGCTGAGTGTGGTCAGAAGGGGGTTATCATTGTGTGGTGTGTAACCAGAGTGTGATGTCTCATCCTACTGTCCCATATGACTGTTGATTTGGTCCTGGGCAGGAAATAGAGGTTGGAGTCACTGTCTAGCCACCTCCCTGTTCTAGGCCTGACTCCAATAGGTACAAAACAAACCAGGTGCTGTTTGGGGGCTCCTTGGATTCATCAGCTACCAAGTTCAGGGCTCCAGCTTGTGGAACCCAGCAGGTTGGTGTATGTCAGGGTAGACCCTCTTTCCTTGGCTCTCCTGGTGACAACAGACCTAGCAGCCTTACTGGACACTTACCCAATTTTCTTCCCTGCGTCTCCAGCTCCGGCTCATGCCTGTGCTCCTAGACTGAGCTTCTTTGAATGCCGTGCTTTACTAGACCTTGAAACTAGTCAAAACTCCACTGTTCAGAACCTCCACTAATTCCAGGGTCCCTCTTCCCACTGGAGTAGGGTAGAGGTTAGGATATGCAGCCATTGTGGGAAAAGGCAGGAGACTGGGCTTGTCCAAGCCAGTTATGACCTTGGGCAAGTCACTGAATCTTTCTGCCCTTAGTTCTCCATTTCCAGCGCTGTCTCCCTGAGCTGCCAAGGAGGCTGCTGTTAAGGGGAAGTCTGTGTAAAGGCTCCCTAAATGGCAGTTGGTATGAATGCCTCAATTATCACCATTGTCACCATTTGGGCAAGGTGGATGCTGGGCATGAGACTGTGATGGCATTTCCCCAGGCAGCTTGAAGACCAGGGCCTGCCTGGAGGGATGGGGCTGGGCCATTTCTGGGCTGCAGGTTCTAAGTGCTACTCCTTTTCCTGTGATAAGAGCTCCCAAAGCAAAACTAAATCAGATTTCTGATTATGAAAATGGAAGCAATAAAAACTCATCATATTCCCAGGGCTGAGGGTAGAATTGAGTGGTTCTTCTGATCAACCCCACCTGCGTGCTGCCAGGTTTCCCTGTGGGCATAACCTATCCCTGGCAGCCCCACCTGTAATAAAAACAATAAAAACCACAAAAAGGAAGAGAAAAAGCTGCTGAGTATCTGGCAAGGACTATTGTCTGCACTGCACTATAACCATAGTCCTGGATGGCTGCTATGAAGGTCTTCCTAGGGGGCATGAATGATGGCTTGGGAGGCAAAGTTTCCCTCTCAAGAGGTGGGACTTGGGAGGGGTCAGGTGCTGAGAGATTCTCTAGGCTTTTGTTTCCTGAAGTCCAGAGTCAAAGGTCTGGTGAGTGGTGAGCTGGAGTTCTCCCCCAAAAGAAGCCAAGATCTCCCAATGAGATGGGGGGCAGGGAATAGCCAAGGCCCCATGGAGGGGGCACCTTGGAGTCCCATGGCCCTCTAATCTCTGATCTTTTTCCCCAGGGAAGGGTTTCTCCTCCATTCTATCTCCTCCCTTGACCCTTCTCAATAACATCTTATTCCCTCCCTTCGGTCTCCTTTGGCAGAGCCAGCATTGGTGGCTCAGGAAGTTAGAGGTTAGGAAAGAACTCTAAGTTCACCAGAGAGGGGGGCTTCAAAACATGGGGGGAATCAGTGAGGTCCAGTGCTGCTCCTGACTAATTTGCATTGTTAGGAGGGGTTGCTTTTCCACTAGGTATCTGTCCTCGGCTGGGTCACAGGAACTTTCTGCCTCAGTTTCTTCAATTCATACTCCAAACAGGACACTCACCAACCTTTATGGGCTCAACCAGATCCCTGCTTCCCATTACTCTCTGAGATTCCTGGAAGAAAAAAATTACTACCAGAGAAATGTGATAGGGCTTTTAATTTCTTCACTTTTTCATTAAGACCATTTTTCTTTGTCTTCTTCCAAGAACTAAAGAAAATCCTGGGAGGGAGGAATAGGTTTCCTTGCTGGGGCATTCACGTTTCCATTGCCCCTGGAAACCACATCCTCAGACAGTCTCCTACAGACCCCATGCCCACCTAATTGCAGCTGCTGCCCTGCAAATAGGGCTCAGCCTGACCTGCAGTTCCCTCCGGGCTCTCTCAGCCTCCTGGAGCATTGCACCCATTGTCTGGTTGAGCAAATCGATGTTCTGGGAAAGTGGAAAGTGTCCTGCCCAGGGTCACATAGAGAGAACATGGAAGAGGGGCCAGATAGGGAGGAGGACACATATCATCAGAGGGTATGGTGCTGTTCTCTAAGCCAGGAAGGAACTGGGTTTTCTTTCCTGGGTTATCCCATGCAGCCCTCCAGTCCAAATACGTATAGGATACTCTTATAAATCCCCACTGTAGTGCTGGTGGTGGGGTGTACTGAGGCCCTGGAAGGTGAGGACACACAGTTAAGTGTCAGAGGCTGGATAATAAGCCCCATTTCCTGACTCCACCATCCTTAACCCTAAACACTCCATTCTCTTCTGTAGGTGAGGTATGTCAGCCCCTCTATGTGCATCTTGGGGTGATAGAATGGCAAAGGCCCCTGCTGGTCCTAAGATTCCTTGCCCAGTTTGGTTGGCTTCACACATGGAGCACCACTGTTGGCTCTGATGTGTGACTCTCCCTGGGTGGCCCTGGAAGCACTAGGGCAGGAGTGACCTCAGAGACCTGTGAGTGGAGCAACTTTGTCAAAATTAGGTCACCCTGGTCCCTGGCCCTGCTGCCTGCTGATAATGGGAAGGGAGAATAAAGGGTTAATTGCCTCCTCTTATGTTTATGGGGGCATAGGTTCACAGAGTGCCCAGGAGGCTAAAGTTCCTGTTCCTGCCTTACCCAAAAGACTTAGGGCAAGCCCCCAGCCTTCTCAGACCTTCCACCTGGAGCTGGAGCTCTGCTCACGGTCTCCAGCGGGAGAACCCCGCCCCCTCCCTCAGAGCGAGGGTCCCAAGGGAGCCTCGAAGCCTGGAAGCGGCCCCCCACCACGGCAGAGCGAGGCCCAGCAGCCGCCAGCTGTTGGGGGACAGATGTTGGGGGAGCTGAGAGGGGGGCTGGGGGAGGGGCCTTGGGCCGGGACCTCCGAGGCAGGGCCGTTTTAACCTCTTAATTGCTGGTTCTGTTTTTCCAGCTTTTCCAAAGGGTTTGCATAGAAGGGAAGGAGCCGAGAGAATAGGAAGGGTTCGCCCTCCAACCCATCATGTTCACTTCATAAGGTCTCTCTAAGGCCATCAAGTGAGCGTCTTAAACCTAAAATAGTGAACTCCAGTTTGATTTTCAGCCCCTCCGCTCAATAGCTTTGTAACATTGCCTGTCCCACGCTGAACTTTGTTTTCCTCCTGCAGAAAAGGGGTAGGTTAATAATGGGGGAAGGAATGGTGGTGAAATTCCAATGGGCTCATGCATCCAACAAATAATTCGATCCAACTAGGTATCCAGGGTAAGTAGGCTGGGAAAGTGAGCCAGACTTGGTCAAGGGCCGGGAGCTCCCTCCGCACAACCGCCAGTGCCCTAAATATCTCCACTCCCCATTCACGGGTGGAGGGCATGGCGGGTGCGGTGCCCACTCTACTCCTTTCAGCAGTTGCTGGGATGCGCATTATCTGTCAGACACCTTTCCAGCGCCTCAGTGCTTTGCGTCTTTACAACCAAGGCGCTCAGAGATTCAAAGAGGGACAGGTAGGGCCTGGTCCTCATAGCAAGGCTAGAGTGGCAGTAGGTGCGCCCCCTAATCCTTTTGGCGATCTGGTCGCAGCTCCCAAACAAACGTTTCCTGGAGTTTCGTTGTCTCTGCTGCGGATTTTGCCGCTTCCGGAATCCAGTGGCTCAGGCCTCATTCCCCCCTGGGGAAGGAGTCTGTCGTTTTGTCAGAGCCTTGGTCCTTAAGCCTCCTTGTGCCCTTTGTGCCCTGCTCCATGTCCTGGGTGGGGGACATGCCGCAGGAACAGCCAAGGCTTGGCATCTGCATAATGACCCTCTACTCCCACCCCAAAGATCCAAGTGCCAGGATGATTTTGCAGTCTGGGCTGAGCCACGGGGAACTCAGGGAGATCCTACGACTGGAGACAGCACCAGGCATTTGGGGTGACATGCAGAGGGTGAGAAAGTTCTTGAGAGGTCACTCTTGGTGCCCTCCTCAGAACAAGGGGATGGGAATACTGTGACCTACAGGGATTCGTGGGTCAGGAAGATCAGGGGTGCGCAGGGAGTCTCAGACGCGTTCCGGGCCGAGGACGAAAAATCCCACGGAGCCAAGCTGGAGGATTCAGGATTGCACGCTGCGGCAGCGTACCAGCTGCGGCGCACAGAGACCACAGGCCAGAGACTCAGCCGCTCTTAACCGGCTTCTGAAGGCGGGGACCATACCTGCTCCAGGCCCTGCCGGCCCCCTAAGGATGCCTCCCACCTTTCCAGAGGCGTGTGGGCCCCTTGCCCGGCTCTCGGGAGTTTCAGAACCCGTGGCCCAGAGAAGGGACACGGCGCACTGCTAGACCGGGCCCCCATCCTGTTCAACCACCCGAATCCCAGTTCTCTTCGTCGTCAGTCCGGCTGCTCCGAAGTTTCGAGGTACTTCTTGCACCTCAGAGGGACCTCAACCTCGGGACCGCACTGTGTGGTCTCAGGCAAGTCACTTGTGGTTCCTGAACCTCCGATTCCCAGGTATGAAAAACCGATTCCAGAGTCCCCACCTCATCGGGTTACCACGAAGCCGAGGGGGTGCAATGAAGGCTTGCGCCCCAGTACCTCGGCGTGGCCCGCAGCAAGGGCTCTGCGCACGGCTGCCCCCCCTTCCGAAGCTCACTTAATCGAAAGTCAGCCTCAGCTCAGAGGCCGGAAAGTGCTCCCAATCCGGATGCCACCTGCCGGGCTGCGTAACCCCGGGTCGGCCCTTCCGCAGGAGTAGACTGGGCTGGGCAAAGTAGTTTCCTCTCCCTTTTACTGCAGTGTTGGGGACAGAGAACAGGGGTTCCGCTGGGCTCTCCCCAAGGGAAACCGCGTTTCCGAGGTCAAGAACTGCGGCTGCTTAGGGGGGCGGTTGACTCGGCAAAGGTGAGCAGCGTCGCCTGAGCTAATCGCGACGACCGCGGCAGGATCCCTTGCGTTCCTTAACAGAGTGGCGTTGGGGTTGTGTCTGGGAGCCGGCAGTGCCGAAGCCTCTGCGGTCCCGCATTCAATACCACCCAGCACCGTTTTTGTTTTGTTTTTGCAATAGACATTTGCTTGAATGTGCTAAGGCAGGCGAGGCTGTAACCTGAGCGTTTTTTGCTGTTTCCACCATTCGCTCCTTGGGGTGGAAGGGTGCGAGCCCTGGGGACACATAGGCAAATCTTCTCGATTCACCCCTGCCACCATCACTCCAGGAAGCTGGAAGGTGGAAGGGGAGAATGAGGAACCATTTACCAACCTGTACGATCAATTCTGAGAGGGTGGTGCTGGGAGCTGTGGGACTCTGGGCGAGTATATGTCGGGAGTGGGAGCAGTCAGCGAAAAGGTCTGGGGGTGGGAAAGTGCTTTGGAGGAGACCATGAAGACCTGGGACTGACCTTCCATTGTGGCTGGCTGGGATTTATCCTTGGGTGTGGAGAGGGTGGGAGATCTCGAATTTGGAAAAGATCAACTTGAACGGGATGTGGTTTGTTGTATTCTGTAAACCCCAAGGGTTTTGGATCAAAACCAGAGGGTAGAGTGGAGCCACCATAGGATTGTAAGCAGAGCAGGGACGGGATTCCATGGCATACTGGAAACTTGGCTGTGACTGCCCTGTGGAAGATGAGTCGGCAGGGGTGAGACTGGAAACCTCCTCCCCCGAGTCCCTGGAGGACATAGCAGAGAGCAGGGTGGGATGGGGAGCTAGCCCAGGAGGGTAGCTGTGAAAGTGGAGAGGAGGAGATGGATCCCAGAGATACTTGGGAGACAGAACCAACAGTGCCTGATGATTGGCTGGATGTGAGTTGAGGAGAGGGAGGAGTGTATGGTATAGATTTCCATGCTTGAGGGGCTGGATGAGTGGTGGCACCATTCCCTGAAATAGAGTGTACACCAGAGGAAACCGAGGCTGCCAGGGTTGGGACAGAATCACAGGTGAGTGACCCACTTAAAGAACAACCCTTCCCTGATGCTGCGGGGTCAGGCACGAGGCTGACTTCTGGGACAGGGTGAACCAGACTCTTGCTTCCTGGAAGGAAGGGCTTCAGGACTGGTGGTGGGGGCAGCTGCATCCCAGTCACTACCTTACAAAATGGGGGAAAAGAGGAAGAAGCAGAATCAAGAAAGGCTTAAGGGGCCAGGGGACACTGGAGATGGGCTTTTTTAACCTTAGTCTTAGTTCCAGAGTCTAGGACCAGCTGGGTACTTAGTAGACTGCAAAACACTAAACAAGGAGTAGCAGTCAATGCTATTGTCTAGTTCAGCTGGGGCCAGGGAAATGTGAACACGGAGAAGTTAAACAACTTGCCCAGGGCCGAACAGCCAGTGAGTGCATATCTATCTCTTCTTCCAACACACTCCCAGCTTCTTTACATTTGGGGCTATAGCTTATATTCATCTCTGGAGTCACACTGGCTGGCATTCCTATCCTTGGAACTGTGTGACCTTGTATGAGTTACTTTACCTCTCTGCTGTCCATTTTCCTCACACAATGAGGGCTAACTGGGATAATCAACATGAAACACTTAGAATCATTCTGGGCAAGTAATTAGTGCTCAAAATTTCACCTATTTAATAATAAATAATAATCACCTATTATTATGTTTTTCTAACACCTGTGTGTTTTAATGAACACATTAATAAAATATACAAATATAAGTGATTACTGTAGAAAATTTGGAAAATTCTAAGGTGAGACTTAGCTGGACAGGGGTAGTAAATCTAAGCAAAGGGTGATGTCCTGAGGCCAGGAGAGAGGGTACTGAGGAGTGGAGGGGGCAAAGACAGCCTGTCTAAACTGAATCTCGCCACTCCTGTCCCTGCCCTCTCGACCTGCAGCCGATTCGGGACCAAGTGCGCCCGGTGTGGCCGACAGATCTATGCCAGCGACTGGGTGCGGCGGGCGCGCGGCAACGCCTACCATCTGGCCTGCTTCGCCTGCTTCTCCTGCAAGCGCCAGCTGTCCACGGGCGAGGAGTTCGGCCTGGTGGAGGAGAAGGTGTTGTGCCGCATCCACTACGACACCATGATCGAGAACCTCAAGAGGGCCGCGGAGAACGGTACCCAACCCGCCCCGCCCAGCACCTCCGCCCCCAGCCCTTTCCCACCTCCGGCACCCCAGGAACCGCCCACACTTCTCCAGGGACTGGGAGTGCCCCAGATTTCCCAGAGCCAGAGCGGGGGTGAGGTTACACACAGCAAGAGCTTCTGGCCCTGTGCTTGGGGGTCAGAAGTCATGACCTTTCTTTGCCTTGTTTCCTTACCTGTGAAATGGAGCTAAGGGATAGGCCACGGTCTCAAAGATAGATGTGCGGCTGTGTTGTAAGTGGAGAGGCACTTACAGAACCCTGGAGAGGATTCTCATGACTGGGCAACCCACTCTGCCTCTGGACAGTTCTCATGGGGTTTGGGGCTTATCCCCTCCAGCTGCCTGAAACCTGGTTTGGGCCAATCCCAGAAAGATGGCTTGGTCTGCATTCTCCCAACTCCCATCCTAGCAGCTCCAAGGCAGAGGTTTGGGGGTGGGTTTCATTCTGCACCGGGGTGCTGTGAGGGGAAAGGGCTAGGTTTCTGAGTCTGGAGCCCCCAACTCCTCTAGCATGCTTGTGCTTACATGGGAAGTTTCCTTTCCTCTGTGTTCCTCAGTCCCCCAGCTGAGGTAGATACTGGACTAGGAGGATCCCCAAATCTCTTTTGATTCTGAGTCCCTGAGACACTTAGGTCCAGGAACAGTTCCATGTCCTCCAGGGATCTTGAGCGCTGACTCACATGTGGGGTGGGAGCGGGAGAAGTGGAGTGGAGTTTGGCTGTGAGCAGAGGCAAGGACTCTTTCCCCTAATTCCCCTATCAGGGTCTGTGGAAGCTGCTAACTTCTGTGTAGCTTGGATTATTTTACATAATCCTTACAAAAGCCCTAGGAAGTAGATCATTTGTCCTCATTTTATAGGAGAAGAAACAGGCAAACTTGTCAAAGTTTGTATACTAATTAATAGGTTTGCCTGATTCCAAAGCCCAGGTCTTAAGCACTAGACCATGCCATAGTAATACCTCATCCCCAAACTTTAGGGCTCCTGAATCAGACATTATAAAGCTGAGGAGGCTACAGGGATGTGACTGCCTCCCTGAGTTTTATTTTTGTGTCTAAAAGCCTGGCATGCCAATACTTGTCTTGCTTGCTTTCATATATGACCTTAATACTGCAAAATGTCTGCTCCATCCCCAGTTCTCTGAAAAGGGCTATGGACCAAACTACCCCAATTTCTAGGCCCTAGCCTGGGACTAGTCAGGGACCACCAGAATGTTCCTGGCTATGACTACACTAGGACCATCATTTTCTCCTGTCAGGGTCAGGGCTAAGTGGGCCTAAGTGTGCAGCAAGTGAATTCGGTGTTCTATGAAGTTACCTGCAGCAGTGTGGAAGTTAGCAGTTTGACTATAGTGGACTTCTGGGAGTCAGAGCTTCTCTACACCGTGGTCTGTCAGTGACTATAGGCTCCTTCTATACTTGCACCAACCAGGACCATCCCTGATCACAGTATTGCCATTTACACCCTGGCCCTCACAGCCACCAGACCACAGACTCATGCAAGGGAACTTGAAGGCTGGGGCCCTCAGCTTCTTCTTATTGATTAACTCTCAGAAGTGGTTACTGTTTTACTTTTTAAATATAACACACATATTCAAGGTAGAAAAATTAGGAAAGGTGGTTAAGAAAAAAGAAAATAAAAATCACTCCAAATGACACCTCTCTCATATTTTAGTATGTATCTTTCTAGATTTTTTCAGCATATGTATTTAGAAATTTCAGGTTTTTGCAAAACATAATTTTTTTCTAATTAAAAAAATTATAATAGGGTGGTGCCTGTGGCTCAGTGAGTAGGGTGCTGGCCCCATATACCAAAGGTGGTGGGTTTGAACCGGCCCCGGCCAAACTACAACAAAAAAAAATAGCTGGGCATTGTGGTGGGGGCCTGTAGTACCAACTGCTCCGGAGGCTGAGGCAAGAGAATTGTCTAAGTCCAAGAGCTAGAGATTGCTATGAGCTGTGACACTGTGGCACTCTACTGAGGGCAACAAAGTGAGACTCTTGTCTCTAAAAAAAAAAAAATTACAATAAATTATGAATAGTGGTTATCTCTGAGTGGTGGGATTACTGGTGGTTTTTATTTTCTTTCTGTGCTCATAAGAATTATCTGAGTTTTTGATAGGGACCATGTATTACTTTTATATTCAGAAAAATGAAGTATTAAAAAGTAAAATGGAATATATTTAGTGTTTTAGCATGATTGTAAAAGTAATGTAAGTGGGAATAAACTATCTAACATATCCAGTTAACAAAATTAAACCTTAGAGAAGTAAGGTGACATCTGATTGTTTTAAAGACCTCAAAAGGGCTGGGTAGCTGGGTATGGTGGCTATGCCTGTAAATCCAGCACTTTGGAAGGCCAAGGGAGGATTGCTGTTGCCAGGACTTTTGAGACCAGCCTGGACAACATAATGAGACCCCCCCATCTAAAAAAAATCTGAAAACCCTCAAAGTTTACAGGAATATTGAAAGTAAAGAGTCTTCATAATCCCACACCTGGAGGCAAACCACTGTTAACACTTTGGTATATATCCTTCCAACCATTTTTTCTTCCACTCATTTCTATAAAATTGGGATCACAGTCCTGTAACCTGCTTGCTATCTTCACTAGTCTTTGGTTTCCTCCGCGTTGGGACATTAGGGTCAGCCAGCTTTCAGATCCTAGTGGAAAGGTCTAGGACAGGGGCTTTCTTCTCTCTGAGCCTCAATTTCCTCCCATATAAACTGGGCATAAAGCCACCTCTCTTTAGGAGTTCGAGATATAAAGAACACACCGAAAAAGAAGTGTCCAGTACTAAGTGCACTCTCAGAAACAGAAACCCCTTTCCCAAAGAGCTCAGAGACTAGGACCCTGGGATCCCGCTCCCAGCCAACTCCTGCTCCTGACCCTTCCAGGGACAAGCTCCCCCCACCCCCGTCCTTTCCAGGCTGCCACTAGAAGAGATGGGGACGCGTGGTCAGCCGCTTCTATCGCCCCCAGGGAATGGCCTCACTTTGGAGGGGGCAGTGCCCTCTGAACAGGACAGTCAGCCCAAGCCGGCCAAGCGCGCGCGGACGTCCTTCACCGCCGAACAGCTGCAGGTATCCGGGCAGGCGGCCCACAGCCGGGACGTGGGCGGGGCCTCAAGTGGGCGGGGCTAGAGGCCTCCTGGCCCCGCCCCTCTGCCCGGACCCGCGGGTGGCGGAGAGGGGCTGCGGCTGCCTGGGGCGTGGCCTCTAGGCCGGAGCCTCTGATTGGGCCGGGGTCTCCGAGACCTCGGCTGGCTGGTGCCTCACCGCCCTCCCGCGCCCGCAGGTTATGCAGGCGCAGTTCGCGCAGGACAACAACCCCGACGCACAGACGCTGCAGAAGCTGGCAGACATGACGGGCCTCAGCCGGAGAGTCATCCAGGTGAGACCAGGGATGGGCGGGGCCTTGGCGTTCTGGGGCGCGGCACGGGGACGTGGGGGCGAGCCCTCTAGCTTGTAGCTGGGCTCTGGAGCAGAGCGTCGGGGGTGCGCGTGGCCACCCCTTCTTCTGGAGACTACGAGGCCGTCCCACCTGGGGTCCCCCGGCGGCATGTTCTACCAGTTTCGGTGAGGCTGAAGCTGCTGAGGCTGTCGTTCCAGGTGTGGTTTCAAAACTGCCGGGCGCGTCATAAAAAGCACACGCCGCAGCACCCAGTGCCGCCCTCAGGGGCGCCCCCGTCCCGCCTCCCCTCAGCCCTGTCCGACGACATCCACTACTCCCCGTTCAGCAGCCCGGAGCGGGCGCGCATGGTCACCCTGCACGGCTACATTGAGAGTAAGTGACCGCGATGTCTCTGGGCCTGCGGGGAGGAGGGCGGAGGAGCAGCGGGGGACACAAGGGCCAAGGCGTGGGGAGGCCTGAAGGAGCCGCGTGGGTGAAGACGTAGCCTCTGAGGTCACTTGGACCTAGTGGTTGGGGCTAGTGTTAATTTCCCCGGCTCTGCCTCAGTGAGGCGGGACCCTTAGCAGAGCCAAGGGATTCAGTCATTCAAAAACAGTTTCAAAGCACCCAGTCTGTGCCAAGACCCAGGGACTGAGGAGAGGACAAGAGGGACAAGGGCCCTGCCTTGCGGAGCCTGCATTCTGGTAGGCGTGGAACAGTAACCAGACAGATGAGCGTGTGGTTTTGAGGGTGATTCCTGTTGTTGAGGTGCTGGAAGAGTTTATGGAGATGCTAGGGTGTAGGGACCAGCTGCCGCTCAGCAAGATGAGACTGGAAGAATGAGTAGGACATAGAGAGGCACGTGGATGGGGAACTGAATGCAGCAGGTCCTGGCCCAGAAAGCATCCTGGCGAGAGTGTGTTTGGGGGAGCAAAAGGCCAGGGCAGCGGGAACACCCACGATGCTAAGGCCTTGAGCGAACCACCTAACCTTCTAGTGCTCAGTTTCCTCATCTGGAACCTGGGATTTCAATGATGCCTACCTCCCAGGGTTGGAGAGTCTGTGCATGCATTCAGTAAATATATTCTGAGTGCCTTGTGTGTTCTTTGTGCTGGAACATGACAGCAAATGCAGTAGACCAAAGCTGCCACTGTCCTGGGGCTCACATTTCAGAGTGGAGATGAGTGGGGACACAGTGACCCCTCCGGGGAGATGCTCATAAGTCATAGTGAGGTGACCTTGGAGCAGAAGCCTGGAGGAGTTAGGAAGCAGCCTCTTGGACATGGCAGGGGGGTGACCACCCAGTGAACCTGCCACTGAGCAGGTGCTCATCACAGACTTTCTTTCCCTTTGTGATTGTTTCTATCAGTTGTTTTCCCAAAGCTGGGCATGACCAATAAAATAGAAGTTACCACAAGACACACGCATGCACGCGTGTGCATGTGTGTACACACACACACACACACACACACACATATCCTCCCTTATCTGGCTCCAAGTAAAAGGGAAAAAGAAGGGAGGTAGAGAGAGAGCTGCTGCTTACTGAATACCCGCCAGTGTCAGACACTACTGACCGTGTCTCTAGCCATCAGAGGTCCCCATCCCATTGAATAGATGAGGAACCAAGGGCCTACTGTAAGTTAGAGGGAGCCAGCACTCTGTAATGATTGAATGTGGGCTTAGGTGTCAGACTGCCCGGCTTCACATCCCAGCCCTGCCACTTACAAGCTATGTGTCATTGGGCATTTCTTAGCTTCCCTGAATACTAGTTCTCCCATCTATAAAAATAAGGACAAAGCAGTGCTGTGAGCATCAAATGAGATAACTGATTTAAAGTCTTCAACATTGAGTGGTGCCTGTGGCTCAGTGAGTAGGGCACCGGTCCCACATACCAAGGGTGGTGAGTTTGAACCAGGCCCCAACCAAACTGCAATAAAAAAATAACTGGGCGTTGTGGCAGGCACCTGTAGTCCCAGCTACTCAGAAGGCTGAGGCAAGAGAATCACCTAAGCCCAGGAGTTGGAGGTTGCTGTGAGCTGTGCTGTCATGGCACTCTGTGGAGGGCGACAAAGTGAGACTCTGTCTCCAAAAATAAATAAATAAATAAATAAATAAAGTCTTCAACATTTAGTGTCAGAGAAGTACAGGCAGTCCCCGAGTTACACACATCTGACTTACATACAACTCACACTTACAAAGAGAGTCTATTTTTTGGTAATAGGTAAATGCACCTACCTATTCTAGCTTATGTAAAAATTCAACAAACCTACAGAACCTATCTCATTCATAAGCTGGGGACTGCCTGTATTACCTGCTTTTGTGATAGTGGTTTTGATTGGCAGAACTAGGAGTGCAGAGTCCTGTCTGCTGTGCCAGGTTGCTAGTTGGAAACCAGGTCTCTTTATACTGTTCCATTTCCAAACCATCTACTCAGTAGGAGGGACTTTTTCCCCTTTCTTTTCTAAATAATGACATATGTTAAAGCTATACAGAGCCTATTAAACACTCGTTAAAAGTGCCAAGGGCCAGGGGGTCTCTGGGTACCTGGGATCTGGGCTACCAGCTAATTCTTGTTGTGGAGTCAGTAATGGATCTAAGCGACCTGCTTAGAAGTGGGGCCATGGCCTCTAGAGTCCCTGCTAGGATTCTGCCGACATACTTCTAGATCTTTCTTTCTTCGATGCCTAGAGAAGGGGCTGAGATGCCTGTTCTTCTTCCCCTTGAGGTGGAACCCCGCTTGGAGCAGAAGATCTCTGGACCTGCCACTCTTCCTGCATGACCCTAACAATTTGCTTTAGAGTTAAGTGGAGTCATAGAGTCTTGACTTTTCTGAAGCCTTAGAGCTGGGAGGTTGATGAAAGTAGTAGAACCAGACCCTAGAAAAATGAACTTTTTCTCTGCAGTTAACTAAAGTCGCCTCTGAGCTTGGAATCTGATAAAAGCTTTGGAACCAGACCCCAGAAAAATACACAGACACATAGCTTTCTAAGTAAGTTGAGGCTATTTATGGATTCCCTAAATACCCTAGGTTAAGGACCCCCAATTTAATACAGCTGCTTTATTCTACAGACAAGAGAACTATAGCTTAGAAAGGCATAGAGACTTGTTCCAAGTTACATGTCAATTGTAAGTCATTGTACAAGGCTCTTTCCTTGTGACCAAAGAGAATGAAGTCTAGGGAAGAGATAGGCAGTAGACTTTTCCACCATAGTGGGAAATATGCTGAAGCATGAGTGATTTGGATCAGAGACAAAGATGAACTTTCCCAAACAGTTTTAGATGTTGGAATAAAGTACATACATTTACTTAAGAAATATTTAAATAATGCTCATTCTAGATACTGGAAATCCACAAAGATCTAGAATCTAGAAAGTAGGATATCGCCTGTGGCTCAGTTGATAGGGCGTTGGTCCCATACACTGAGGGTGGCCGATTTGAACCTGGCCCTTGCCAAACTACAACAAAAAAATAGCTGGACATTGTGGCAGGCACCTGCAGACCCAGCTACTCATGAGGCAAGAGAATCACCTAAGCCCAGGAGTTAGAAGTTGCTGTGAGCTATGATGCCACAGTACTCTACCAAGGGCTATAAAGTAAGACTCTGTCTCTAACAAAATAAGTAAATAAATAAATAAAAGAATCTAAAAAATAGACAAAAAATCCTGCCTTCTTAGAGCTTGCATTCTAATTGGCAGATAGGTGATATCAAATGGATGATAAAAATCTACAGCAAGTCACACAATAAGTGCTAAGGAAGGAAAAATAAAACCCAGAGGAGGACAGGGAGGGCAGGGGTGAGTGCTGGTGTCGGTTTCAGTTGTAAATAGCTTGGTGACATTATGACTGCAGAGTCATCTGGGAGGCATGGAGTAGAGTTGTGATACTTAAGAGATATGAACATATGAGGAGCTAAGGGAGGATCTGAATAGATGGGGTAGAGCCTTGTTTGCAGGAGGTGTTCACTACACATTTATTTAGGAGTGTTTATCAGTGAGCTGGACAGTTGTACCTAGCCATCACATGGCACTTTTTATATACAGTGTCATCACCGACTCTACTGAAATCTTGCCCAGGGCCACCTAGGAGGTAAGTGGCAGAGATGAAACCAGTCTCAGAGCTCTAGTTTGCACAGCATGGGGCAGGCGGGATCCTATGTGCAGCCTGGGGAATGGGCTCCAAGGCATCCTCTCATCCACAGGTCAGGTACAGTGCGGGCAGGTGCATTGCCGGCTGCCTTACACCGCACCCCCCGTCCACCTCAAAGCCGATATGGATGGGCCGCTTTCCAACCGGGGTGAGAAGGTAAATGGAGCCAGGATGGGTCTGGTGGGCCAGAGCCATCCTGCCAGGGATGGGTTTCTGGCAGCATTGTGTGTTGTTGCGCCCAGGCCCCGCTGCACCTCCAGGGAATTCAGTCAAGTAGCTGCCTGTGGGTTCCTGTATGTGCATGGCTGCTCCAGAGGCTACCTTGTACCCTCAACACCCTCCCTACAAAAATCTAGGCTTATCCTTTTCAGATTTGTGAATTTACTCAAACTTGAGGTTTCAGGGAAGGCTTATATCAGTAACGCCTTGCTGCCTCCAATCATCTCATTCATTCTTCTCCTTCTTCCTTTTCATTCCTACCTCCTGAGAGTGAATACCTTGAGCTGGTGAGGTCCAGCAATAGCAGGCCAGCTGGTAACCTTCGTCAACTGGCAGGGCCTTTTCTGTGAAATCAGGATCTCTGGTTGTCTTAGACATTAGCACTGACACCAAGAAGGCTGTTTAGACATCACCCAGTCCAGAGGCTTGAAGGCTTTGTTTTCTAAGCACTTGGACCCCTTTGTTTAATCTTAAATATAGATGAAAGTGAAACCAGAGAGTGGGTAGGAGCCTCCCTTCCTTCCCAGCTCTGAGATACCTCAGCTAGCCTTGAAAGCAACTGCTTTTAGAAATGGAGAAATTGAGGCTCAGGTAGCTCAAGGTCAAAGTCTGCATTAGAACCTGTGCATTGATTCACTCACATATTCCTTTATTCAGAGATATTTCCTACATACTGCCTGTGCCTCGCAGTTCTGAGTCTGTTGCCATGAGCAGCATGTAGAGATACAAATTCTCAAGCCTCACCCCCAGAGAGTCTGATGGGTATGTCTGGAGTGGTGGGGGGCAGGAATTTGGATGAACAGTACCCAGCCCATGCAGTTATGATGGGCAGCTGGGTGGGGAAGACTGCTCCTTCAGTACAGTCTGTCTGGTTCTGCCTCCTGATTGAGCACCTACTATGTGCCAGGCTCTCTATGCTGGGTGCCCTGGGGAAATGTATGTCATGTGGAGGCAGAGACAGACTAATTGGACAGATAAGTTTATAAGTAAATTGTGGTGCTCAATGTAAACTCCTGCAGAATCTGGTGGTAGCTGAGCACACTCCTGGAGCCATGTTCTCTTGAGATTGTCCTGAGATTGTCATATTCACAGTGAGAACCTCTATTTGTTCAGCTCCTCCTCTATTTAAGGCAGGCACTTTAAATATGTCATTTGGTTGACACCTGCCAGCCACTTTGTGGGTGTGGATGATGGTCTTTGTCATTCTAAAAGTAAAGAAATGGAGACTGCGAGAGGTGACATGACTTGTCCAGGGATGCAGCAGGTCTGTTGGACTCTAAAGTCTGCACAGTTCAGTAATGGCTTCCTTTTGTGCAGGACTTCTTGGTTTACATGCTGCTTTCTCTGACCCGTTCTTCACAGCCTCCCAGGAGGAAGCATGTGAGGACCTCTTTCACACCTGAAGAAACTGAGGCTCAGACTGAGCAATGCTCATCCAGGGTCACATGGGGAGCATGGGCAGAGCTGGCCTGGATCCTTGCCTGCCTTGGAGCTGGCTGCTTCTGGGAGGGGGCATTTGTCTTATCAGGCCTAGTCCTGAGACTGCAGAAGTGAGCTGGCATGGCTTAAGGGAGGTTTGGGCTGAACAGTCGAGTGAGGGGCTTGGGTATTATACGAGGACAGGGAGTTGGCGTTGAAAGTGTATAGGGCTAGCCTCAGTGCTTGGAGAGGAGCCCTTGCCTCCTGGTTGTTCAGCTAATTTTGTGGTTCTGTCTGGTTTAGAATGAAGGATGACCCAGGCTGGGGTCGGGCAGCTCTGGCTATGGAAGGTTTCTAGCCCTTGGATTTGCTTGCTGAGTCAGAGTTCTCTTGCTGGACTTTGGTCCCCAACTTCACATCCAGAAGCTCTGCATTAAAGTGTCACTTCCTCTCTCATGACCTCTTGCCCTTCCACTGCCAGGCCTTTTTGCCATCTCCCAGGGACCTTCCTCATCTTATCAAACCCATAGGCCCTGGTGGGCTACAGGGTGCAGCCTATGTGGGGTCTGCATAGGACTGTGTGGGCTTTCTCATAAGCCCTCTAGGCCAGTAGTGTGAGGAGACTCAGGATCCCCCTGGTGCTGGCCCTGAACCCACTCACCTGGACCAGTGCTGGCCTGGCCCGGAGAACAGTGTCCCATGGGGCATCCTCTGTCTCTGCTGCATAATCAGTTTCCAGAACCACATTTCTTCTTGGTTGTGTCCCCTGATCCCACAGCTTCAGCATTCAAAATGTTTTTAAAAATCTGGGCCAAGCTGTCATTGATCAGTGGGAGAGACTAATCCCACTGATCAGGAGGAGAAGGGTCTTACCAGGGTCTTCCCTCTTGAGAGAGCTTCTCTCTCTCTCTCTCTCTCTCTCTTTTTTTTTGAGTCAGTCTCACAATGTTACCCTCAGTAGAGTGCCTGCCATGGTGTCACAGCTCACAGCAACCTCAAACTCTTAGACTTAAGTGATTCTCTTGCCTCAGCCTCTCAAGTAGCTGTGACTACAGGTGCCTGCCACAATTTCTGTCTATATTTTTGTTGCAGTCTAGCAGGCCTGGGCCGGGTTCAAACCTGCCGGCAGTTATGGGGCCAGCATCCTAACCACTGGGCTATGTGCACCAAGCCGAGAGCTTCTGTTATTAAGAGCCCAAATCCAGGCACCTTAGAAGCTGAAGTAGAGCAGTGTCCCAGTGGGTTAGGGAGGGTAGGTGAGCTCTGGAATCAGGCTGACTCCAAATCTCCGTTCTGCCATAACCTCCCTGTGAGTCCTGGGAACACAATGAGCTGCAATTTTTCTACATATGAAAAATGGGGATTATAATAGTTCCCTCTATTTAGGATTGCTGCGGATAGTAAATACAATAACCTGTGTAAAGAGCCTAGCACAGTGCCTGGCATGCAGGAAGTGCTCCATAGCTGTTGGTTATTATTGTAGCTACTGTTATGGAGAGTGTCATCATTGCTTTCCTTCATCACTCCTATGCCCCCACGGTAACTGATTCTGGGCAAGCAACATTACTAATCGGAAAAGGGAACAGCCATGTAGCCATGCCCACCAGATGTCTCTGGGCCACTGGAAACCTCCTCCTCACAGTTCCTGTGGAAAGGCACATCCTACAGAGCAGCTAGCCAATAATCCTTGAGCTCAACTTCAGGAAACTGGCTGTGTCAGCAGCAGGGAGATGTCAGCCAGGCACTTTAGGTAGGAGAGGGGGAGGCCCAGACCGTCTTGATTCCCGCTGTGTGTCAGGCACTTGGCATGTCTTGGCTTTGTGAAGGTTAAGCACACACTTGAGGTACTTAGCTTACCATCCAGTGCTTACGTGGTGGTAAGCAGTAAGCAGTCAGCCACTGTTGTCATGGTGGCCTTGGAGCAGTAGAGGTGATGTGACATAGTAAAGAGAGCTTGCTCTGGAGCCGGGCCTGGCCTCCAGTGCTGGGGCCCCATCCTCCTAGCTATGTGATCATGGGCTCACTCAGTGCCACTTCTCTGAGTCTCAGTGCCCTCCCTGTGAAATAGAGATAATGAAAAAAATAAAAGAAAGAGAAGAAATAGAGATAATGGCAGACCCTCACATGGAGTTGAGTTTTGGCTTCAGTGAAATAATGCCTAATAGAGACTTTTGCTGCAGCCATTGTATCTCACTGGAATATTTCTGACCCTGAAAAAGAGAGATTTTGACATTCCTATATTGTAGACGAGAAAACAGGCTCAGAGAGGTGAAGTGAGTTGCCTGAGGTCCCACAGCAAATAAGTTGACAGAGCTAGGACTTAAACCCAGACTGGCCCCTGAGCCCACCTCATTCTCTGTGCCTTTAAGGTCCTCTGGGGAGCTACAGGGTGGGGCAGGCCCCCAGCTCAGCCACCTGCCATGCCCTCCTTTTGCAGGTCATCCTTTTTCAGTACTGACGCTGCCGGCGCTTCCACCTCTGTCCGTGGGCACCCCACAGCTGCCCCTCAGCCGCTGAGATCCAGTGTCCAGGCTGCGGCCAGGGATCCACCCGCCTCTGCATCCACCCCCGTCCGCCATCCTGCCCACCACCAGCTCAGCCCTCCAGGCCCAGCCCTTCCCTCTCCTGCTGAGAACCCAGGAGCACCACTGAGTCCTCCTCTTAGAAGGCAGAACTCCCTGAAATTTGGAATCAGGGTGAAAACAACAGCCTATTTTTTCCATTTAAACAGAAGTCATCTTCAGCTTAAGCTGATAACAATAGCAAAAGGCAGAATTGAACTGTGAAATGCCAACAGCCTTCTGATTTACAGGTTTTCTTTCCCCCATATTGGCCTTTATTTACTACTTTCTTGGAACCATCTCTGAATTCTGAATAGCTGACAACCCCCAATGTTATCCACTCTGTTGCTTTTGTCTGGAAAACTCTACAGTGTTTGTGGGATGTCCCCAAAGGAAAGCTATGTTCTAATTTTATCATTTCCATCTGTCTGGTTATGTCAAGTTAATTCAGAAAGAGAAGAGACACTGACCAACCCTGAGAGGCCCAACAGGGCAGAGATGGAGACCTACCCAGACCAAGAAGCAGAGGCTTAGGGGTGCGGGGGGAGACAAAGACCTCCCTGGTCTGGGGATCAAGGAAAGGAATGTGGCACACTAGACTGAGAGTGATACTAGTCATTCTAAGGAGAGGAAAGAGAAAACTTGGGGTGGGGATAGACCCTGCCTCCCATTATTATCTAGCATGTAAGCAGGGAACATAGCAGAGATGGAATTTGATCTGTGCAATGACTCTTCTGAATGTTGGGGCAGTTAGAGTAGGGGATCCTTGTTGGCTACTTCTTGAGAGGGTCTAGGCCAGGTCTTCTCTGGAAGGGGCATCATTTACTGGGGGCCAGGAAGAGACCAGTGAAATGGCAGTCCAAATTTTAACTCAGGATCTATCTCTGGGTAGAATGAGGGTGCCCATTACCTAGGTGAGTGCCAACCCCAGGCACCTCTGGGCTTCCCAAGCCAGCCTTGCCCAAGCCAGTTCTACCTACTCCTGAGAACAGAAGCCAGACACAGCCACGTTCACATTCACCCCATACTGTTAGAATTCTTCCACCCCAAACAAAAGGGCTCAGGCTACGCATAACCAAGATTTATGTTTTGCACCCATTTGTCCCAAGCTTATCCTGTAATTCCAGAACTACTTGGTGTCCTGGTGCATTTTCCACTAGAGGTTGCTAGTAAGCATGTTTTAGCTCAAGTCCTCCTTCCTGCCGCGGTTAACCTGTTCTCTTGCTTTCAGAAGGAGACTCTAGGACAGGGAAAGCAAGTTCATGGTACATATACAGCTGTTGTCCCTGTTTTTACCTATGGCAGACATTGCTAACCCATGGCAGCTCTATTTCACCAAGTCTGGATGAAGTTTCAGAATCCAGATGCTTGAAGTTGACACTTAAAATGAAAATGTATATGTCATTCTTGTTCTGGGACCTGGAGGAGGGACAACCACAAGTGCAGCCCCAAAAGGGCATCTGCTTCCTCTCCCTTCCAAAGATGGTTACAGCTGACTAAGGGCAAAGAGAAGGCACCACTCAGAATGTGGTGAGTACAGCTCAGTTCAGAACTCATCTGGTGGTAATGTGCCCAGCCCTGTGCAAGGTGCTGGCATTAATAGGAGTGGCCGCGCCCACTCCCTGGCCTTGGGGAGTGCACCTCCTTCTTTTGACTGTTGCTTCTGATGATCAAAGCCCAATGGCAACCACGTGGCAAGTGGCCAGCCTAGCCCTACCCATGGCCACCAATACCCACTCTGCCTTGAGTCTCCTCCCAGGGTCTATTCCTTGTGTGGATCACATGGCCGTAGCATGTTACAGTTCAAACATGTCTCCACTATCGTATAAAGAGCAGCCTGGGAATGTACAGGCCATCAAGACTATTTATTTAAATACAAAACAAAAAAGGGGAAAAACACACACGGAAAAAAATTGTAAGCACTTTTTTGTAAAACCAATGTCTGTTTTGTTACATACCTTTCATGTCGTGCTTTGTAAATGTCTTATTTGTGTAATAAAGTTAATGCAAGTAGAAGTGCTGGCACTTACATCTGGAACGTGATGGGATTCCATTTCTTTCCTGCTCTAGTTAAAGGCTCAGGTCCCTTGCTCCCAGAATATCTGGGCTGCTAGATAGTGCAATCCCTGTTCTTAGAAAATTGGTACCATTTCTCAGTTAGTAAACTGCATCGTAAAGGCACGATGGTGGGTATCTTCCCTAAGTACTCAGTCAAGCTGCCTCTTCTTAAGCTTTGTAGGAAATGAGGCTGGTTACCATCCTCTGTTTCATTCTCTGAAAACATGCTCTCAGCTGAGCCCTGTGCTGGCTTTGCAGACTCAGAAAAGGGTCCCTTCCCTGCCAGACCCTGCCCTAGAGGAGCTCACAGTCAGCAAATGCTATAAAAAGACATCTCTCCAACATGCTTCGGGGACTAAAGGAGGATGTATTTGAGCTGAATCCTATCAGATGAGAAGTTCACAGAACAGGTACAAAAGAGGAGGGTGTTGAGGGTGGGGGAGGGAGGGAGGCCCTGAGAGTATGTTTGGAAGATGGGGAGGAATTTGATAAGGCAAAGTTAAGGGAAAATGGGATGTGCAATAGGGCTGCAGCTTCTGCACAAGACTGGTCAGGTTCCAGAGCCGCCATGTAATTTGGATAGTGAGAGAGAGCATCTTTCTGGTGATTGTCAAGTTGTCTTGCAGCACCAAAATAATTTGTTCAAATCAAAGCTCCTGCTGTGGAGAGCAGAGCTGCCCTGTAGGGTGTGGAAGCTTCCCCAGCCCGGTGGCCCTGCACAGAAATGAGCTGCTTGTAAACTTTGGCTCATGGTGCATGGGCCATGAGGGCAAGGCTCTTTCTTTATTCTGTTTGTTTTTATGTTTTTATCCTCCATCCCTGACTCCATTTCTGTCCATTCCTACTCTATTTTTCCAATCCGTTTTTCAAATATTGACTTAGATAGATATATTTGTATCTTTGAAAATAGATTAGTCTTTCCCAGGGTGTACCTTCTGTTTTCAAAACAGTTTGGAAATCACTGGTGGTACTTCTGTCATGGTGACTGGAACCTCAGGAGGAAACGTAATTCTCCCAAGTCTTAGCCGGGAGTGGACCCAGCCTCCCTCTGGCTGGGTCCATTGCAGTTTGAGGTTCAGGTTCCTCTCCCTGTAGACTGCAGTAGAGCCCTCCCAAGCCTGACTCACTGCCCTGCCTTCTCCGGGCAGTGCCAGAAGACACAACATGGCAGGGGGTGGGATGCTATGTGATCCAGCAGCCTCTATAGAGAGACCCTTCTACAAAGATCCAGGATGCTGTGGCCGCAGAGTGGCCCTAGAACATGGTGCTGCTTCCTTGGGAACAGTTGTAATCTCTGCGGTGATTTTGAGGAAAGATTATATGCACAGCTAACAAACTGTTCTTTAAAGTAGATACATATTGACTACCTGCTAAGCACCATGTCCTTTGCTTGTATTATCGCATTCAAATCACATAGCTACTTTGTCATTTTAAATATCATCATAACCATTTTATAGATAAGAAAGGTGAGGCTTAGAGAGTGACTTGCCCAAGGTTACATGATGCCAGTGATTGAGCTGGGATTTGAATCCAGGTGTATCTGATGTCAAAGCCCCATTGTTTCTATGGCACCACACTGGTTCTGTGCTTAGGGCATGATGCTTAGATGCAGGAGCTGCCCAAAAGCAAAGGATCGGCCCTGAATAAGCATTGCTGGGTCTATGGGAAGGTACCAGTTCTGAGTCTGGGCACAGTGATCAAGTCCTAAAGCCCTCTGAGACCAAGCAGGTCCCTCTAACTCTGAACCTCACATTCCCCATCTGTAAAAGGTGATGCTCAGCCCTCCCTGGTGAGGCTGTTGGGAGGAGCAGAGATGAGACATGGACACTTGTCTGAACCTGTCAGTTGCTCGTTCACTTATCCACAGTGTATCTATTATTGTAAGGCAATGGTTCTCAAACTTTCATATGCATAAGAAATATCTGGGCATGCAAACTGCTAGCTCCACTCCCAGAGCTTCTGGATTAGCAGGCCTAGGGTGGGGCTTGGGAATAGCTATAGTTCAAGATTTTGCCCAGGTGATTCGGATGCAGATGAAATGAGGATGGCATCTGAGAAACAGTCTTCTAAGGAAAACACTTCTATGCCGCTCACTGCAGAAAGCTTTTATTCCTGAGTCAAAAGCCAGGTTCTAGAACTACAAACAAATGCACCCGCCTCCCATGCCTGGGCCTAGCCAGTGCCAGGAGGGCAGACAGAAACCTCTGGTCGGGTGGAGGCAGCCTCCGAGTTCACAGTTTGGGCCTGTGTCCCACGATCTCGTCCCAGCCCTTTCGACAGGTACGGATGATCCACTCATGCTCGTCATCATCTGCAAGGAAAGAGGAAGAGCTGGTCATGTGTGGTGCTTGCTGGGACCATCCCTGCCCTGGGAGTTCCCAGGCAGGGCCTTGGGACTGGAGTGCACTCTAGCACACGTGATGGGCTGCTGGTGGACAGTCTGTTTAGCTCTGTGTGGAAAGGAACAGACCTTTCATTTAATCCCAATCCCTCAGAGTGCCTGGTCTTGGGGAAGTTGAACACAAGGGTTTCTAGCTTGTAGGAGCTGCTGAGGAAGGCAAGCATGAGGTCATCAGACCGCCCTGAGCTGGATAGATCCAGACAGGTGGCCAGAGAGCAGAGGCTCACACTCAGGCCCTTGCCCCCACAGACAGTCCACAATGGCAAGCCCAGGGCATTGGGTCCAGGTCTTGCTGGTGGTTCTGGGAGACAGAATCTTCAGATTTTCGTTTCCTTTCTGGGCTTTCGGTTTTTGATTAAAGAATCCATGGTTTCCCAGGATGCTGACACCTTCTGTTTCCTTAGGTCCTGTCAGTGGGGAGAGTAGGGGGGATAGCTGGCTGGTGTGCCCTGAAGGCTCTCCCTTAGTTTAATTCTGTGACCATCTGACAGGCAAGTCTTCCTCACCCTAACAGAGGCTTATGGAGGTGGAGAGGTACTTGTCCATGGCCACGGGTCAGTGTGGGGGAAGCCTGGGGTTTGAACTGAGGATTGCCCAACTACAAGGCCCCTGTTATTTTTTAAACCTCAAATCTGAAAGTTGAATGAATCATGTTCCTCAGTCCACAGCCCACCAACATCATCTCTCTGTGCAAGACCCCTCTGAGGATTAACTTTATGTTAATTTTTCCCTCTTTTTCTTCCAAATCCATGCCCAGCCCCTCCCCCAACACAATAAGGACTTGCTAAAATGGTGGGACATAGACCCCTAAAAATGCATGTGGCTCTGTAAAATATGTTTTTTTTATGTACCAATATGTTTTTAATTTACATAAATGGCATTGTGCTGCGGATTTCATTGTGTCTTACTTTTTTTCATTCAACATGGCGTTTTCAAGATCTATTCTTCTTAAAAATTTTTTGGTATATTGAAATGTGATTAAATCAAGATCTATTCTTGTTGCTACAGTTCCTTGATTCTTACTGCTGCCTAATATTCTGTGGTTGGCTCCTGTCACATTTTACTCTCAGTTCTCCCAGGGGTGGACCTGGAGGTTGCTGCAACTCCCCACCACCAGGAAGAGCTGGGACAAGTGTTCCTGGGCACATTCCTCTGCGGATACGTGGGAAGATTTCTCTGGGTTATATTCCTTCCAGGAGGAGGGTCATCGAGTCCTACAGGCCCTTCAGCCACTGTCTTCCTAGCTGGCTCTGCTCTTTTCGCACCATTCTGCTCACCTGCCTTCCTGCCTTTCCACCTTCCCTCCGTCCTTTCTCCTGTCCCTCTGTGCCCAGCACTGCCTTCAACTCAGGGAACTCCTGCCTCTTTCCCTACCCGGTGCCTAGCTCAGAGATGGGAGGATGAGACTACCCACCCTCCTTGGTGATAAGTGGCAGAAGGTGGGGAATAAGGGGACTCCCTGAGAGCTGGAGCACAGAGGACCAGCAGAAAGCCTCCCCTCTTAAAAGGCTTCCTCTTTTGCAAAAAGCACCAGACCCAGGGTCAGGAAGCTGAGACTTTTCTATCAGCAGCCTACTGTGTGCTCAAAGCTTTGCAGACACTGCATCTCATTGGATCTTTGTAATGGCCCCGTAAGGCAGGGGAGATCACCCTCATTTTATGGAGGAGATCATCCTTGTACTAGGTCCAAGGCTAGTGGAAATCAAACCAAGTATCAGCAGGCTCCAAAGCCTGACTTCTCACATAGGGGAGATGTGAGCACAGTAAGACCATTGACTGCCCCCATGTAATCAGCCAAGTCCCCACTATTTCTTTCCATATGACCTAAGGAAAAAGGCTTGCTCTCTGGTGTGTTCTGGGGAGCAGCCAGTGGGCCTCAGTTTCTCCTGGGGAGGCTGCCTAGGAGTCCCCACAGAAGCTGGGAAGCCTTGGGGTGGGGAGAGCAGCGGTGATGTGTCAGCACACAAGGAGTTAAGCGCTGGTGGAGCCCACTTTTGCCACACTGTGAGCAGCCTGGTTGATAATTACAGTTCTGAAGTCTCCAGGCTATTCGAATCAGTGCAGCTGCAACCTCTTCAGCGGTAACCCCTGAAACCAGACAAACTGGGTTTATTGTGCTGAACCAGTCCTCAGGCCCCTCCCTGATCGTTAAAAATTGACAGCAATGGACTTAACAGCCCTCTTCACTACCCCTTTCACTCTCTACCTGGCTGCACAGCCACCAATTTGAATCACAGATGCCTCCCCTCCCAGCAGCTGCTCACGGACCCTCCCTCCACCTCCCCTGCGCCTTGCTGCAGCTCCCCTGGCCCTGACACGCCAGGGTGAGGCTGTCGAAGCACATTTCATCAATATTTAAAACGGAATTAAACCTGCAGCTTTGATTAATGTCTCCCAGATCCCAGGAGTTGTGATTACTATTTTGCAAATTGCGATTGTTGGAATATGTTAATATGATTGTCTGAGAACATCTTCACCTTTTCAGATAATTTTCCCCCTTTTTGGCAGGAGGGGAGAGGGAAAGGAGGGGGAAAAAAAAGATGGGAAGAAACACCCTACAAACTCTTTAATCAATTGTAAATTATTACCCTGAGCACAATTGCCAGTGGTGCAGAGGGAAGATTTCTGGTTTGGTGCATTTATCTTGAAAAATTTTGGCCCCCTTTGGCCCAGTAATTCCACTCTAGTACAGTATCCTAAGGGGATAGTTCTATTTGTCTCAGAAGTATTTAGAATCAAGAAAAAAGAAAATGACCTATCTTCCTAAAAACAAGGGAATAATTACTGTGTTGTATATTCATTCATTTAACCGGTAATTTCTAAACACCGACTATGTGCCAGGCATCATGCTAGCACATAGCCTGTGGGGGAGGTGGACACATGAGGGGATATTTAGCAGCCATTGAAAATAATAGTTAGAAAGTCTGTGTAGTGGCTCGGCGCCTATAGCTCAACCAGCTAAGGCGCCAGCCACGTACACCTAAGGTGGCAGGTTCGAATCCCCAGCCCGGACCCGCCAAACAACA